ATTATTCACTCTGCCAATAACACACCATGAACTGAAATGAGAGAGAAAATTATATTTCAATGTTTATTTATTTAGTTTAAAACTTTCTCTGGTTGCTACCGCAGTCATTAAATCTGTAACGCATTCCTGTTCTATACTGAACTCATTAAAACTCAAAATTACTGAGTTCTGGATTCACTAATAGCCCTACTGATTCGACTCCTGCTCATCTGCTATGAGTGGACTCTATCAGTGTCACTGAATCCTCTCCCACTGAACTGTCTCTCTTGGCTCTTCTTCACTAAATCAACTCCCTTGATTCAACTCACCTGAATCATCTGCCCCGACTCATCTGCTTTGAGTGGATTCTCTATGGGTCTCACTGATTCATCTCCCACCGATATGACTCTTCTCCACTGAATCAACCTCCTTGATTCGACTTCCTGAATCATCTGCTTTGAGTGTATTCTCTGGATCTCCTACTGAATTCTCTCCCTTGACTCTTTTCCACTGAATCGATTCCCCTGTCGCGACTCCCTTGATTCAAATGCCTCAATTCAATTCACCTCCCCTGAATCGTCCTCTCTAAGTAAACTCTTTACTGACCCTGCTAATCTTCTTTGACTTCACCGACTCATATCCATGGTCTCTTCTGAATCAACGGAATCATCTTCTTTGAGTGATTCTCCACTGGCCCCGCAGAATCGAATCCCCTGACTCATTTGCCCAGAATCCCCCTACTGCTCTTACCCTCTGCGTCCAACATCTTCGGGATGTCCAGGTATTTCTCTGCAACGTCAAACGCTGTGTTCAAGTTGGTCATGGGGTCATCCTGTAGAGGAGCAGGTCAAATAGAGACTCTGTTAGCCCTGACCTTTGACCTCTGGCCCTACAGATCTGCATTGTGCTAAATGTTTGTAAACAGATGATGGTCGTTTGTTTGTGACCTTGCGCAGTTTGCCATAATCGATGAGTTCTGGACGGTGTCTGTGGATGAGCGCGCAGAACCCCAAGCCATCCTTCCAGCTGAGAGAGAGAGAGAGAGAAAGAGAGAGAGAGAGAGAGAGAGAGAGAGAGAGAGAGAGAGAGAGAAATCGACACAGTCACCATTACAATATAAACACGTGTCCAAATGTATCTGCCCAAAAATATATTTCTGAGTTCTATGTAATCGGTCTCAGGGTTTTTCCTGGCTCAAAACGAGGCAGAGGTGTCACCATCCTGATCATGCACACATATGTGCACGTGTACAGCGCCTTCAACTGGCTCAGGAAACACTTTTTACAAGCAGTGTACTTTAGGTGTTTAGATAAACAGTAACAAAGGAATTATTTTCTAAAACAACTACAATCCCATTTCCAAAAAAGTTGAGACGCTGTGCAGAATGTAAATAAGAATAATAATAATAAAAAAATGCAATGATGTGCAAATCATGTAAACCAAATTTTTAAAGGAAAATACTACAAACGACAACATATCAAATGTTGAAACTGAGAAATTTTATTGTTTTTTGAAAAATATTTGCCCATTTTGAATTTGATGCCAACAAAACAGGATTTCAGCTGCTCATCAGTTCAGGGTCTCATTTGTTGTATTTTTCATTTCATAATGCGCCAAATGTTTTCAGTGGTGACAGGTCTGGACTGCAGGCAGGTCAGTTTAGCACCCAGACTCTTTTACTACAGAGCAATGCTGTTGTAATACATGCAGAATGTGGTTTTACATTGTCTTGCTGAAATAATCAAGGCCTTCTCTGAAAAAGACGTCGTCTGGATGGCAGCATATGTTGCCAAAACATGTATATATGGTTCAGCATTAATGGTGTCTTCACAGATGTGCAGGTCACCCATGCCATGTGCACTAATGCCCCCCTACACCATCATGAATACTGGCTTTTGAACTGCTCAGTGATAACAAGCTGAGTGGTCTTTAGCCCGGAGGACACAGTTGGACCAAAGTGGTTTTCAGAAGTGTTTCTGAGCCCATGCAGTGATTTCCACTACAGAATCATGTCTGTTTTTAATGCAGTGCTGCCTGAGGCCCAAAGATCACAGCCAGCAAATACTGGTTTTTGGCCTTGACCCTTACATACAGAGATTTCTCCAGATTCTCTGAGTCTTTAATGATATTATGTACTGTAGATGATGAAAAGCAGAAGTTCTTTGCTATTTTATGTTGAGAATCGTTATTCTTGAATTGTTGCACTATTTGATCGTGCAGTCTTGTGAACAGATGAAAGCAGAGATGACAGAAGGAAGGTTTTTGTAACATGAAAAGCTTTACTTGAAAAGTGACCATAACTAGGGTAAAAATGTAATGATGTCCATTTTGCAGAAAAGTGATCAACATCACTCAGTGACTAAACTAACTGCCGAATGTGTGTTACAACACTGTCAGTTCCTCCTTTAGGTTTTTTAACCAAATCATCGCTCCTTTTTTACCCGCCCATCGTTGTATGCACTGTTACCTTTCATTTATTCTTCTCCCATCCCTCCAGTCTCGCTACCCTGTTTAATTTTATTTAATTAACCATTAAACTATTTATTTACACATTTATTCTCAGCTGAAAATACATGCTGAAACCTCTATATATTAAGCCAGTTGATTTTTTTTTCGTTTCCCTCTCTCCGTCTCAGTTTCTCTTTTCCTCTCTTCATTGTCTGTCCTCACAAATTAGACACACATTAAAACACTTTGGAAAAGTCTGTCTCTACTGAACCCGAGTTAAAGGGAAGGAAGATACTCATACAGTTAATCAGACAAAGGGTTTGTATTTTCTAATCATTATCTGTTAATTACCCTAATAAACTCTCACATTTTATCAGAGCTGTGCTGTATGAGTGTCTCCCTTCCTTTCTCATACAAAGCCCCCCAGCTTTGGAATAGTCTTCCTGTTAATGTTCAGGACTCAGACTCAGCCTCAGTGTTTAAGTCTAGGCTAAAAACTTACTTGTATAGTTGAGCCTTTGGTGATTAGTTTTCCCTGTCGGTTCTACACCTGTCAGAGTCTCTGCTGCTCTGCTAACACTGTAATCTGTGATCAGTCACCCATTACAGAACTGACTCCCATTACAGAACTGACTCCCATTACAGAACTGACTCTCAGTTCTGTCAGTCACCCATTACAGAACTGACTCTCTGTGTGTTTCTCCTTTCTTTTCTTTGCCGAGTTGAACAGCTGCCCATCCTGTGCGTCTGATGCTGCTGCCTCTCTGCCTTGATCGGGTGCCACTGCTCGCCGTGCAAACCTCACCCTCACAACCCTGACCCACACTGATGCTGCTGCTGCTGCATGAACTAAACTAATCAAGTTAATCATTGCTCCACCTGTTTTCCCTGTTTTTGTACTAACAATGTTTACTGTCCGGTGTCGACCAGAGGAGGATGGGTTCCCCTTCTGAGTCTTGGTTCCTCTCAAGGGTTCTTCCTGTTTCTCTTAGGGAGTTTTTCCTTGCCACTGTCGCCTCTGGCGACGCTCATGGGGGCTCAGACCTGGATTTCTTTCTGTAATGCTGATTTCCTTGTAAAGCTGCTTTGTGACAACACCTGTTGTAAAAAGCGCTATATAAGTAAACTTTACTACTTACTGTATGTTGGCCTACAGTATGTGTGCTGCATAACTGTCAGTCACTCTGGGTAGCGTTAGCCCTGAATGGATTCACTACTAGCCCTACTGATTCGACTTCCTTGACTCAACTCACTGAGTCATCTGCTAGAAGCATATGCTTGGCCCCACTGACTCGTCTCCTTTGACTCCACTGAATCGACTACCCTGAATCAACTCCCCTGAATCATCTGCTTTGAGTGGATTCACTATGGGTCTCACTGAATCATCTCCCACTGAATTGTCTCCCTTGACTCTTCTCCACTGAATCAACTCCTTTGATTCAGGGCTGTATGCCGGTTTGGACCAAAACTTCAGGCCCGGGTAAAACTTTACAACAGACACACCACCACAGATCACCATGACAACAGGGGTTGGTGGGGGGGGGGTCGTAATGTTCTCTCTTTGAGGGTCAGTTTCACCCCTCCAGCTCTCTCTGACCCTGAAGGACATCAAAGGCAGACTCTTCCTTCTGTCATCTCTGCTTTCATCTGTTCACACTTACGCTGTCCTGACCAGGTTTGCTTTCAACATCAAACACACACACACACACACACACACACACACACACACTCTGTGTCAGAAGCTCACCTGATGTGGAAGTTCTGGATGTTGACGTTTTTGTACGGTGCAGTTTTCCTCTGGCACCACAGCAGGAGCCCCTCTTTAGCCGAGGTTTCTGTAGAAACAGCGAACACAGCAGCGCCGTTACACATCGTGATGGGGAGAAGTGAATTGAATTGAACTGAATTTAGTGGAAATGAGACCAACTCAACTGAACATAATTAAATTCAAGTGAACAGAGTTGAACTTGTTTAACTCGGTGAGTTTAACTGAATTGAACCTGACATGACCTTAATTCAATTTAACATCAACTACAGTGAACTGAATTCAACTGAATTAAACAGAACTGAATTGACCCAATCTGACCCAAACACAGCTGAACTGACCTGATCTGAATTCAACTGAACTGAACTGACTTTATCTAAACCGAACTGAATAGATCTGATCCTAAATTAACTGAACTAAAGGGAACAGAACCGAACCAAACTGGTTTTAACTTAACTGAATTTCTCTGAATTGAACTGAACTGAACAGAGCAGAACTGGACTCACATGAACGTAGTGCTGAACTGCACCAAAGTGAATTAAGCTAAATGGAGCTGAATTGAACTGAACTGAATTTGACTAAATTGAACTAACCTGAAATGACCTCAATTCAATTTAATTCAACTAAAGTGAGCTGAATTTAACTGGATGGAACCTGACCTGACCCGAACACAGATGAACTGACCTGATCCGAATTCAGCTAAACTGCACTAAACAGTTCTGATCCTAAATTAACTGAAGTGAAGTGAACAGAACTGAATCAAACTGACCTCAACTGAATTTCTGTGAATTCACCCGAACTACACTAA